TACAAACCAGCTGTTGTAAGACTCTCCACAATCCACAGCCCAACTCTTGCACCAGGTACACATGATGTCTCAGATCACTTGCCCTCTAATCCATCCTCTCCATTCTCCTCTAAACAGGGCTCCTGTACTAGGTGAGTGATGTCATCCAGGAGCCAGCTCTAGTTCCCAGCCAGCTGTCTTGATTCTCCATTATCCAGTTGCCTTATACTAGGTGCATGTTATGTCATCCAGCCGCTTAATTTTTTCCCATCTAGTGTCCAACATTACTGCGTACTCATAAATGCAAACTTCCATTACTCTACCACTGTTGTGGTTCCTTCCTATAAAGCAAGAAAGAGATTTTTACATGAATATTTTTATTTACAAATACCTGTACATTCTATAATATAGTATTAGGGGGCTACCAAAATTTCTATGAATGTGACTGAAGGGAAAAGGCTGGGAAAAGGGGGAAAGAAAGCATGCAGGGGATAATAATTGGGTGCAGAGAGAGAAGAAAGGAGATGGCACCCTTTCACTTTTCTAAGTATCCTTCCAGGGGGCCGCACCCAACGACTGCTTTCTGCAAAACAATTATTTTTTTGGACTAAACAAATATTGCTTAGAATTTTCTTTTGCCTTAAGACGGTAAAAAATTGCTAGATGAATGTTCCGTTCATGTGCAATATTCGAATCTTATCAAATAAATTCCCTATGGTTTTCTGAAGTTTAATTGTTCATATTTTACTACCCAGGTTACACTATTATTCTAAGTAAAAGGAAACCTAAAATTTTTGGTTTCTATTTGTGATGGAAAGAGGAATCAGAAAAATTCTCACTTTTGTAAAAGGTTAGATTACACCTAAAATTTTTGCCCTTGTAATTTCGAAAAGACTTAGGTTCCTCTAGCTAGGATGACCAAACACATTAATATTTTAGAATACTTTTCTAGAGATCTAAAAGTACTCTGGACAGCCTAAAAAGTGTTTTCGACATATTTTGGACGAAAACTTTGTTGGGTCCACCCCCGTCCTTGATTTTCCAAATGCGCTTTGAAGGGAAACACTGAAATTTATCCTTAGAATTCTTAATATGAACTTGCTCACTGAATGAAAAACATTACAATTTTCATTAGTCCAGAGCCTTCAAGCATTGGATGACAAGCTAGAGAATGAAACACTTATGTGTGAAGTTGAATCGATTGTGAAAAGAAGGCTGATACAAAATATTTGAATGACCCTAGTGATTGCAAAGCATGCACTTATACCAAATCATTTACTCCTCGGTCACAACTGCCTTTAAACACTGGTTGAGAGGAGTGTAAGGGGGTATGAATACCGCAAAACTGCACAGAAAGACATTATAAACACAGCACAGAATAACGTAAGAAAACTGCAAACCCCATTGAAATTGCTCGAAATTTTCTACATGTAAGTACTGCAAACTGCTTGGTTTTGTATAACCGCAATACTGCAAGTTAAAAAAAAATTTCCGCAAAACCGCACCAAAAATTGAACAAAACCACATCACTGCAAACCCTTACGCCCCCCTCCTGGTTCATTTCGCAAAGAGGACACACGCTATTATGAGAGGTGGTGACAGGTTTGTCTCTCTGAAGTATTCGTCTCTCTGAAGTATTCTGGGACTACAACTATAGGCTAGACAGAAGTGGGTGAATCCTTCGAGGGGTTTCCTTGTTGGCGACGTCCTAGTTTTACCAACTGTAGATGAAAGATGCCCTAGACTATCTAATTAGCCTCTTGGTCTGATTGCCAAGATTTATGCAGGCCATCATAATGGTCTCACATCATGAGAAGTCTTACAGTGAAGAAGGAAACCTTGTTGTACACAAGATAGTTTCTATTGGAGTCTGTAGAAATCTCTCAAGGACGACAGTCACCGTTGCAAATCAGAACATGGACTTAAAGATTAACAACAGTATGACCTTGCATCCCGGATCATGAATTTTCTTCATGTGGACAGCAACATCCCCACCAAATTAACCGGCCTATGGTGTTTATATCATGTTATATACCTCAACTGTTGAAATAATAAGGATTCGCACAACAAAGACGGACTTTGTTGATATACTTCACCGACTTTCTCCTCATCTCAATCAACAAGGCTTTAAATCCACTCTACCTCTCAAATCCTTTAACAAGTTTGTCAAGTCCCATAGGGTTATCATCAACAAGTATCAAACTACACTGCAAGAGATGAGACTAGCAATCAATGGCTGAATGGTCCAGCCATATCCTTTATTAAACATATTTTTTTATTAATTTAATCCTTTTATTACCCTTTCAGTTAGTGTAGGTTGTGTGCGCGCGCATTATTTAAATAGCACACGCTTTCTTTTATTACCTAATTGAAGTGTATATTTAGTTCATTATTTAATGCATTACATTTGTTTTCCTACTCATATACCTTGTTGGTAACTGTGCTCATATATTGTGGGTGGCTCATCCTAAAATGTTCTACGATTGGTATAGGATTTAATGGAGCAGCAACCAATTGTGGAATTGCACACATTTCAGGCATCCTACTGATGAACACTGTTATGGCTTTTTGATTTTTTAATTTTTAGACTTAAGATATTTCGAGCAACAGCAATTTGCCATCTGTCCTCTTTAAATAGCACAGAATACACTGTAGGCAAAAAAAGGTCATTTCAACATTGTCTTTTTTCAAAGGGGTTAACCCATTATGTTGGTTAAAAATTTGAAATAATTTTCTTCTGAGTTTGTTTTTCTTAGAAATAAACCTAATAGATAGTTTAATTTACTGTTTGATGATGATGTTATCGAAAGAAAACAGGCTTTCTAGACTATAAAATGACATTATAACATACAGTCAACTCTCACATAGCAATCACCTCACATAAGTGACCACCTCCCGTAAGTGACCACTTGCTAAAAAACTGCTTTGCTTCTCAGTCAAATACAGTGAAACCTGTATTAAGCGGACACCATATTAAGCGGACACCCTCTATTAAGCAGACAGTAGCCAAAGTCCCCAAATTTGTTTGCCTTACTTACTTTAAATGAAACCTTTATTAAGCGGACACCTCTATTAAGCGGACGCGGACACCTAAAAAGTACCTGAAATGGTCATCTCTATTGTTGCTGACCTGTATTAAACGGACACTTGTAATTACATTCCACCAACCAACATGCCAGACATCAGAAATGCAAAAGATTGCCTCAAATTGCCACCACTAATTTTTCGATTTTTACATTAAAAAACATGACTTGACAAACTTACTTGATTAGTTTCACAGTACAGGATTGTTTTCTATTTCGTTTTGTTTGTATAGAGCTTGTTTCACCCATCTGATTTCCTCAATTTTGAGTTGCAATCCATGTTTATGGTACTATGATCAATTAGTTCACTTTGATAAAGAAATTAATGCTTCCACTGTTCATTCGAATGGCATTTGACACCTCATATGACGTTATATATCGAAACCTGTATTAGGCAGACACCCTGTATTAAGTGAACACTACAGCATTCCCCGAGGGTGTCCCTAGTCATAAAATCATGTAAAAATTTACAAAATTTTGTAAAATTTTATAAAACAGCTGACTAGGGTTTTCACATCGAATAGCGCTTGGAGAGTCTTATAATACTGTTGAAACTTAATACATAGCATTTTGCAACAGATCACTGTAACAATTCTTGTGTATCTGTAGGTCTAAAGTAAACTGTTCTTATCTGTCAGCACTCTGGGTCAGCACCATTAAAATTATCCCAGTGCTTTCCATCTTTTCCTTAAGCCATGGACTGGAAATGTCATTGTCTCCATAGAAAATGTAACTGCAGGTAATTTCTAGTCCATAACCTGCTCCTCGATCTACACGCTTTCCTGTTATGATGGCCTGTCCATTATTTGGTCCTTGGTTTCAGAAATTTGCTGACATACTGAGACACGTGTGATACTATGTGGCCAACATCCTCTTTGAATACGGTATTGGGATGTTTGGCTTCAGTAATTAAATTTCTTGACAGTGGCCTCACTACTGCGACAGCATTTCCATCTTTTTTGTTCAGTGGCTCACGCTTCAGAGTACGTTGCTCACCAGGAGCAAATCAATGCTGAATGATAAGCAAATGAAGAAGATTTTTCGAGTTCTGTTATTGCACGTGGTGACATTTTGTTTGGTGCTCTGTTTTGATTGGTGACGGAACATTTTATTCTCATCACATGAGTTATTAAATCATAGACTTCTCGTGGGACTTCTCACATCATGTACTCATAATATTTATAGCATGCATGTGTCCTCAATAGAGTATTTTTGGAGGTCTCAGAGACGAAGAACTGCGTTAAATGCTCGGGTCTTACAAAGTATGTCTGTCTGAAGTGTGCAAAACCTCTGTGTAACAAGTCAAAAAAATGTTTAGTCCCTGCTGTAGCTAACTAAACCCTACACAAGACTGCTGAGGTAGGAGAAGCGAAGTTCAGTTCCTATGTGAAGTCGTTTGTAGACAACAATTTTTACATAGACAATGGCCTCCATTCTGCTCTGGATTCAACCACGGCCATAGATCTGCCACATCACACTCACGCCATGCTAGCCATTGCAAACCTTTGCCTGCACAAAATTGCCTCAAGTCACACTGAAGTAAGGGAAGCCTTCCTGCCAGAAGATCATGCAAGTGGCCTCCACAACCTAGACTTCACCAAAGGCCCCATTCCCATACAGTGATCATTAGGAGTGTACTGGGACTTCTTTAAGTCTGATTCTTTCATCTTCCAAGTGCTGCTAGAATAAAAAAACATTTACATGCCGAGGAGTTCTGCAGGTTACCATCAGCCTCTATGATCCCCTGGTCCTTGCAGCACCACTCATAATTACATGGGGAGGAGTTGTGTCGGTTACTAACAGCTTCTATGGTCTCTTGAACCTTGCAGCACCAGTCATAATTAAAACAAAACACTTATTCTGATCACTTAGTACGGAATTTAGTGCCTCACACCCCAATGCTTGGGACTACCCTCCACCTCTGGTATCAAAGACATAATGGCGGGAAGTACACACTTCGTTTATTGCTCTGCCGTGTTTTATCTTTTTATTTTTGTACTTCTCTGCTGTACCATTTACAGATCACCTAAACTGCCTGTTAAGAGAGTTGATCTGGGTTTGGAGTCACTTGCTGTTTACAGAAGCACTGCTGCTGCAATCAATTTACAGACGTCGACAGTAACCAAGTTGAAATTGACTACCATGTCTGTTCCGCTTGGCTGGAAAAAACATCTTTCGCTCAAGATTTTTAAGCTTTTCTTGGCTTCACAGTGCGTACTTTTGTCTGGAGACGTAATGCTAAATCCTGGTCCACTAAGCAATGAATCCTTCAGTCCTTCTGAGCAACTTGGGTTTGGAAATGAAAGTTTCTCTTCCATGGATAGTGAAAGTGGCGGCCATGACTCATTTGGAAGTCAATTTAACACTTCCACAAGCTCACTTGATGACTTTGAACCTCATCTCTATTTTAATCTGGATCTACTGTGTAAAGGTCTAAGAATTGTTCATTGGAATGTTAACCATCTAACTTCATCTAAATTTGATCAAATCAATTGTTTTTGAAAAACAAAGATGGAACACCACAAGTTGATGTCCTTTGGTTAAATGAAACTTTCTTAAAGCCTGATATCCCGGACTCTCTTTACTCTGTCCCTGGATTTACGATCTTCTGACGTAACCGGCAAATTAAAAATGACAGTGGAATACTGGCTTTTATTAATGATGAATTGTCTGCAATCCGTAGGACTGATCTGGAAGACTCAAATTTTGAAATATTGTGGCTCGAGATTGCTCCTTTCAAATCTAAAAGATCCCTGACTCATTTTTACGTGAATGTTTCCCGCAGCAACGGCAATCCAACATGGTGCACATTTCAAAGTTACAGCGTAATGTTTTCCCGTCAAAAATTAACGCATGCGTACTTTTCCTTCAAGTCTTATGTAGGACGGGAAGGTCATTTATACAAAGTGTTTCTTGTCTCAGCTATGACATGTCTTACCTAAGAGTAGGTGTTAAGGGCTGTTCTAAAATAAGACGCGTCTTATTTTAGACGAAATGTGCTGTTTATACAGAAAGTTTACGTCATATTCAAGACACGTCTTATGTAAGACCTGTCTTATTTTTCCTCGTATAAATGGCCCATTGTCTTCCTATGTGCCCCAAATTTTGCTGCAAATTGAAATTTGTTCTGCCCTCAACCTGTCCGCATCATTGCTAGGAAATATGCCCATCGTCTTGTCCCGCACAGTGCTGTGCATCTCAACACTTTTCTACAATGGAACAATCGCAATCAATACAAGAATCGTGTCCAACTATTTGTAGTTCCCAATGCCAACCTTCGTGCCCATTTTTTGTTGGAAGGTGTCTCTGCCAATGCCAAGCTCATGTCCAAGCAGTTGCTCTGTGAGCTGCCTTTTGCCATGCCAACAACGTTGTCAAGAGCGCTATCCTCCTAATTTTTGACAAAGTAACCTGCTTTCTCTCCATGGCAACTTGCAATTCACTGTGACGACATGTGCCCGGCGCACTGTTGTCTTGCCTCATCCGAACAATTGTCATTTTCAACAAAATTTTTAACACCAGTAGGAAATGTCCAGCCAAACTTTTTGCTGCCACAAAGCTATGCAACACCTACACCATATGCCCTAGTTTTTGCTCGTTGTACTGTTCACACAGTTGGCCCCAGTGTTGTTGCGTGTGGCGACAGAAGTCTCCATACCTATTCAAAACCCCGGGACAAACATCACCGGCTGGAAAGTCTCTTGCGGTTCAAGAAGCCGATTATAAGTCGTAAGTTGTACATCGTGTCTTGGAGCCGGTTACTATCAATTCAAGAAGAAAGATGTTTGTATATAAGCGCAAGAAAAAAAGCATAAATAACCAAACCACGGAATACAACGAAAACGACGAAAACACTACGGTAAAAGATCTTCAACGAAGGGCCATATTTAAGAGATGTGCAACTAAAAGACTTGATTTATTTTATCGGTATTCCGTCGAATCGACAAAAAAAAATAGTAACACCGGGGAACAGATCTTCAACGAAGAGCTATTTCTGAACTTAAAAACGGTTGCTCCATAAACGAATGTGTAACTAGACGTTTGTGATACATTTTAACAGTATTCTTCTGCGTATAATTAAACAATGTGCACTATTTTCTGACTTATGTAACTTTTTTGGCTTCTCTGTCCCATGGAAAAGGAACGAAAAATACGTGTAAAATTGATGCGACTGTTAACTTCTTTTCAGTAGTTGCAGGCAATTTTATTGTAAAAACAAAACGAAAGTCAAATTTGGAAAGCTATCACTTCATTTTGTGTTTTACAATTAGCGCGTACTATTATATTATTCTTTTCGAAACTCCTCAAATAAAATCAGACTCGATTTTGATAGACACAAAAAACGTGTCCTTTTCATCAAAAATAATTAAAACTGAATATATACTGGAAATAAATCACTAATGATTGTTTTCCCGTCTTTTTGTGCTGGTGAACAATAGCTAGTGAAGAAACAAGCTTCCTATAAATGTGAAGGACACAGGGAATCTAAATGAGAAAAAATAATTACTAAACCCTGATTAAACTTTACAACAAATTTGTCTGACTAAACGGGTTTACACAACTCCATTTATTTCATGGTCTTCTCGATAGCGAAATTTTAAGAGGAACAATTTTTACAACGAGAAATCTTTGACTATTAAATTGCATTGCCAAAAGAGCATTCACAAAGGGCTATTGAAGATGACACTAGACGCATGCCGCAAAGAATCAGCAGTTCTCGACTGAATCTCCAAACATTTTCACGTTTTTTCTTTTAGTTTACGAATAAAAATGATTCTTAGGACTCAGTTAAGAGGCAGCGGAGCATTTTCAAACGCAAGGGGCCGGCGGGGAAGGTGGGAGGCTCATCGTACACCACGCCAAGCGTATACCTCTGCTCAAATTTTCCAGAATGTCGTTTGCATAGTTATGTGGAACAAAAAGCTGTTTGTTTGCTTGTATCCTTAACAGTCTCCGGTTCGTTCATATCAAATTTTTGACGTGCAGACGTCGATCTTCATGTTCATGGTTTCTTCTAGATACTTCCTAACTCGACGAAGGGTGGAAAATGTATGCTACGAAGTCTCCAATGGCATTCACAGTTAATAGCAAATTCAATCTTATAACATACTGAGCACCTCTCTAAGGTGCGTTTT